GGTACCGTGCGCAGAATTGGGCTCTGGATGCCTAACTGGTTCAAACACAGGGGCGATCACAGGGGACCACATGGACGGGGTCCTTCTGGGTAGCTGCTTCCGGACGTTCTGTGTGCCGATCACCTTCTTACTTCAGGTTCGAGGAGAGCTGGAGGCCCAGCTGAGCCGTTTCCGGGAATTACTGGGCAGGGACCCTACTCACGTGGACGGGCACCAGCACGTGCACGTGCTCCCAGGTGCGTGGGTTGGTGCTCCCAGGCCGGGGTGGGGGGGTGCTGCACGTGCCTCTCCCTGACTCTGCCCCGCCCGCAGGAGTGTGCCAGGTGTTCGCCGAGGCGCTGCAGGCCTGCGGGGTGCGCTTCACTAGGCTGCCGATGGAGCGCGGGGTGGGCGGCTGCGCTTGGCTCGAGGCCCCAGCGCGCGCCTTCGCCTGCGCAGTGGAGCAAGACGCCCGCGCCGCCATGGGCCCCTTTGCCCGCCACGGCCTGCGGTAAGGCCCCCTGCCCCCTGCCGGGCCCAGGTCCCAGTGTGTCCAGCTGGCCGTTCACCTTGGCCAGCTGTGTCCGTTTCTCATCCTCGACTGGTGGTGTCCCCACCCCAGATCCGTCCCGCCCACGGCCTACCCCTGCCCATTGCGGCCTGCAGCCGTGCCACTGATGCCCCGGCATCTACAGGTGGACCGATGTCTTCGTGGGCCTGAGCACCTGCGGCCGGCACATGTCCGCTCACCACGTGTCAGGGGCACTGGCTAGGGCCCTGGAGGGTATACCCACTGGACGCGCAGTGACAGCCGAGCTGATGGCACACCCCGGCTATCCGAGTGTGCCTCCGGCTGGGGGCAGCAGTGAGGGTCCTGATGCCTTTTCCTGCTCCTGGGAGCGCCTACACGAGCTGCGTGTCCTCACAGCACCGGTGCTGTGGGCTCAGCTTGCCCAGGACGGCGTGCAGCTCTGCACCCTCCACGAGCTAGACTCCAAGAGGCCCGGAGAGGGGACCCCCAGCGAAGCCACTCTGGAAACCTTTCTGGAGCCCTCCCCACTGTGACCCTCCCCGGCAGACAGCCAAGCATTAACGTCCCTTGGTGCCCAGGAAGGGAACTGGGTCCCAGAGCAAGCTGTGACTTCCCGGGCTGGATGCTGCCACCTCTGTGCCCAGGTCCTCATGGTTCAGAGTGGCGGCAGAGCTTCTGCAAGCCCTCTGGCTGCAGGAGGCAGCCGTGATCTCTGGGCCTGGGGCCTGCCAAGCATGGCGGGGGGGGTCACAGTGCTGTGTAAGCATCTTCCTTGTTTGGGTGCACAGGGCAGAGATGGCTGTATTAATAAAGTAACATGTCCTGTAAACTTGGGTGTTTATAGACTGTGCCCGGGAAACCTTCCCAGACACAAGGACACGAAACTCCTTTGGGGCCCACTGAGGTCACTGTTCCAGAAAAGATCTGCAGTGCCTCCACCTTTGGCGCTGCTTATGCTTAGGCTCTCTTTATTCTTTTCTTTTGGTGGGGGTGGGTAGGAGGAGGGGAGTGAGGGGTTGGAAGAATGTCTCACTAGGCTACTTTTTGGGAGGCATATTATAATCTCAATTTTGACTTTAAAGACATCACCTGTTCGAAGTAAGCAGCCCTTTGCCATTCTAGGGGATGGGTCTGAGGAGGTCCTGCAAACTTGCAGGAGTGTGTTTACGTTTTTCCAGGAGGGATGGTCTTCTACGGAAATGGCACCCCTGGTGATGTGTAGATGCCCTGTGACCGGGGCTCCTGTGGCCTGGATCAAGGCGATGCCAGGAGCAAATGGAAACCCATGTGGTCCTTCTTGTCTCATGTAATCTCACATCATAGTGCCTGTGTGCAGGCACCGGTGCCCCCATTTTGAAGATCTAGAGATAGTAGGGGAGCAGAGCTGTGAAGCTGCCCGTTCATTTACTCAACATGCCCTGGGCCTGAGTCTGTACCAAGCATGGAACCAGGGCCAAAAGAGTTCTGCACTTTCTAAAGGGGTGAGGGTAGGGCCCCATCCCCTTGACTGGTGGCTTCAGCCCGCTCTTTCTGGCTCCATCCTCTACCCCTACCCTTTCTCTGACTTTGACTTCTCCAGCCGTAGGCCCTTTCCTCCCCCATTTCATCCAGGGCTGTGAACTGGAATGGCTGTGAATGTGGCCCTGGCCTCCCCGCCCCGGCCCGCTGGGGTCTGGCCGTGCTCCCACAGGCTGCTGGCTGGAGCTGGGCAGCAGGCACAGAGGCACCTCCCTCGAGGCGGGTCTGTTGTTCTGAGAGGAGGGGCTGGCTGTATGGCTCCAGGGCCCAGGAGAGAGGTGTGGGTGACAAGGGAGAGACTGGGGGGTCTGCACAGATGCTGGAGGAAGCTGTGGGAGTGGCCACTGTCACTCAGGGAGCCAGAGAGGGAGCAGCAGAGATAAGGGCCCAGATCAGCCCTAGGCCATGGGCACTGAAGAACAGAAAGGGACAAGAAGGCAGAGGGCCCATTTCGAGGCTGGCCACTGGCATCCCACCAGGGAGATGGGGTATTTTTCACATAAAACCTGCTGTGCCCCAGGACGGCCCAGGCTAGGGGTTTACTGTTAGCCACCAGTTCATCAGGCACGGAGGATCTGCTCCATGCCAGGCCAGGCCTGGGAGCTGGGACACAGCCTGCAAGGAGCTCACGGTCTGGTACACACATGGGGGCAGTCCTGTGACCGGGCTGCAGTCGGGGGTGGGAATACACAGCAAAGCATGGGGACAAAGCCTCTGCGATGTTGAGGAGACTTCCACTCTGGTGACAGCCCACACGGCACCCCCAGGAGACCAGGCTGCCAGCACCCAGGAAACAGCCATCTACCAAGTGCAGCCTGGGCCAGGCACTGTGCTGTGCAAGATCAGACCTTCAGCTCTGCTCCTGGGGCAGGTGTGCCGTTCCCCCTCGTGCATGAGGGAAGCAGGTGAGGAGGAGCCAGTGCAGAGGGGCAGGAGGACTGAGGTTCAGGTGCAGCTCTGCAGGGTGCGGCACGGACATGCTGCCAAGGGAAGACAGCGAGAGCAGGGCTGAGGCCACCCCCTGTGGGGTGGGCCCTGGCCAGAGGAGCCCCAGGGGCAGGAGGGTGCCAGAAGCCAGGCCGAGGTGATGCAGTCATTGCGTATCTCGAGCTGAACAACGAACAGAATGAGGAAGGTGAGAGGACGGTGGCCACCGAGTGGAGGGAGTTGAGAGGGTCTCACAGGCTTTGGGGAGGGTCTGTGGCTGTGTTTGGGCTCAAAGGGAGCCAGTCGTGGGAGGCGAGGGCACTGGAGCCAGGCTGTAACAGCACAGGCCCCTGACCGAGTCACTTTCCTCCTCTGTGAAAGCAGAGTAATGGTGCCCGTGGGTCTGTCCTGAGAGTTAGGACAGCGCTAGGACGAGCAGAGTCCCTACTGATGATCAAGGCAGGCCCCCAGCCTCCTTACTTTCTGGTGCCCCAGAAACTTGCCCCAGGAAGTTCCCTCTTGGACTGCAGACCTAGCTGTCAGGGTCTCAGCTGGTGTCAGACTCCAAGCAGGGGACTCAGCTGACAATAAGTGTCAGGGCCTTGGCTGGCCTGGTGCTGAGTCAGCACTAGGGCTGCAGTCGCAGTCAGGAGACTCGGAGGTGGGTTTGGGCTGGAGCTATTCAAGGAAGTGGCCCAGCCCCTCCCTTGGGCATACCCTCACCAGCTCCCTGAACTTCTTCCAGACAGCACCCTCCTCAGGGCCCCAGTCTGCTCCTCCGTTAAATGTGGCTGAGGTGACACGTATACAGAGGTCACTCTCCCCTCCCCAGACACCCAAGGGTGTCTCTGCAGCCCTTTCTGCTTCCCTCAGCATGGCCAGAACACCTCTGTGCACCTCTCCTGGAGGCCAGGTATGGGGAGAAAGCCAGAAGAACCTGCCCAAGACCCCAGGCCACTAGCACTGCCCACCCCCAGTAAGGAAGAGACCCACACGACCAGACGAGTGTCCGAGAGCATTTTATTAAGGGCAGCAGAGTAGATCGCAGCATCTTAGAAAGCCTAGTCCCCGCCATAGGGGGAAGGGTGGGGGGACCGGGCAGGAGCGTGTATTCCCATGGGGCCCATCGGAGGTGTGGTGATCACAGCCCTCCCCTGCTCTGGGGGATCCAGCTGTCTGGCCCCGGAGCAGCAAGGCGCCTGCTGGCACGCTTCATGCCTGCCCAAGGGCTCGGGGAGTGCCCGCTGGTAGAGCAGGAGCCCAGCCGGAGGGAGGGACCGTCCACCACCCAGCTCTCGGAGGCCAGGCCCCTGCTGATGGGCGAACCCCAGCTGTGATGCCAGGGGATGCAAGTCCCTGAGGGGCCGCCGGCTTCGACCATGGTGGACGTCCTCCTGGTGGTGAGCAGAGAAGGGAGGGGGCGATGGGCGGGCAGAGCTACGCTGGTAGAAATACGAAGCAATGGGACAGTTTCCAGGAATGGCAATATTTCTGGATTCAGAGAAGCGACGAGAACAAATGGTGGCTTATCTGGATAGCTTCTGACAGAATTTGGCATTTTATTACAAATCTGCGTGTGAGTGAAATAAAGTCCATCATTGCCTTTCTGCTAATGAAGAGACAGACGTGGATGTGCTGGCCGGCGCCCTCACCAGCCCGGGCGCACGGGAGGCTCCAGAACGTGCCTCTTGCGTACCTGGGACTAAAGAAGTTGCGTTCATGAGACCCGCTGCAGGCTGCACGTATGCGGCCTCACCCACCATCACCCCACCTCTGCACACAAGCCACCTCAGGTCTGCAAGCCTGGAAAGACCTCAAGTTATAGAACTAAAATTAAAACAGAAAGCCAAGTTTAAGTCATCTTCTCCACAGGATCTAGCCCCTGGAGCGCCCAGAAGGGAAGCCACCAGTGGCAGAAGTGGAGGTGGTGACACACAGTGCTTGGACCACTAGCTTCCCCTGGGTGTCAGTGACAAGGACTCTACTTCAGGGACAGTCCCACTTCCTTTGAAAAGACATTAACATTCAAATCCTTACAAGTTCATCTGATGATAAATTCTAAGGTCAATTTTTATTTCTACAAAAAAAGGCAGTCAAAACAATATAAAACACGTAAAGGATATTACTGAGTGAGCTTCACGTGGAGCCTGACTCCGCGAAGGCCATGAGTCCAGTGGGGGGGGAGGCCGTCCTGTTCCTGGGCTGGGCCGTCTGGATGCTCCAGAGGAAGGGCCAGTGGGGCGCCGGCGACCCCAGGCTGGTGCCGGTGACAGAGGAGTCTGCCAGAGGGTCAAACGTGCTGAGGAAGGGCCGCGGTGGGGCTGCTGCACTGAGGACGCAGAGGGTGAGCTCTGAGCTACGTCGGGTGGACACGTTGGTGACAGGTGAGCGTGGAATTTCAAGTAGACACTCTGGCTTTAGCACTGTCCGCAGGGACCTGGACATCTTCTAGAACAGCTGCAGGGAGGAATGGCAACCTGTGGCCTCGGGAGCCTCTCTGGTGAAAAATTCCTCCCACAAGTGCACGGTGCTCTGGCTGGCACACCCCTGGGGGCTGCCGCAGACTTGGTGCTGGGGGTCTCCCTAAGCAGGTCGGCCCAGGTGGAGTTCATCATGACGCGGACGGCAGGGTCTGCCAATCTGGTCAGCATTACTGGGGTAACATTAGCCAGAGTTTTACAGCAGAGCTAGGCCTCCCTTTCCACAGCTTTGTTTTTGGGAGGGGGTGGGAGTGGAGATGGTTGTTTGCTTGTTTTTTAATTTTTTTAAAAGGATATTATAAATCAGAGTCAAGAGAAACTTAACCGACTCCCACACCAGGCCGCGTGCCAAGGAGGGGAGCAGAGGAGCCGCAGAGGCCTCCACTGCCCCTCCCGGCGGGAGGTGGGGCCTGGGTTTGGGGAAGTGAGTGAAAAACAAACTAAATGCAAAAAGTGGGAGTTGCAAGGGCAGGGGAAGAGGGGAACCACAACTTTTTTTTAACCTTATGGGCTAAATGTAAACTGAAGATTTTGGATAAATTTGGACAGCAAAAGAAACACCATTCTTTTAAAGTAGACTGAAGCAGTGATTTTTAAAACAAAGAAAGCAGAACTAGAACATCTTAAATTTTTAATCCTTTCTTTACAGGTCACCTAGACCACTTTTGATTAAGAAAACTGTAGAAAGTTAGTAACTGCCACAAGCAGACGCCAGGCGGTGGCACATGTCAATTTTCCATAGAGTCCTGCTTTGTGGGGTGTCTGGATGCACTGCTCGGCATCTCTGCTCACACTTGCTGGAATCAATCGCGGCAGATTTTAGTCCACAGGTCGCTTTTCCCCATATTTCTTTGTAAACTCTTCAGCGTTCTTACAGAATTTTTTACGGTCCTTAGAGTATTCTTCAGCTAGGTCAGCCCGGAGCGGGTGCTCGGGCTGGGGGTCGTTCACCAGTGCTATGAGGGACTGGATGACTGCCAAGAAAAGGACAAGGCACCGCTGGTTAGAAGGCCCTTGGAAGGGGCATGGCAAGAAACACAGCTCTGATTAAATGTCTATATGCTTCTCAGACAGAGCGGCCTCCCATTCATGCAAAATTCTAACCACCAGCACTCAACCCATCATTCCCATGATGAGAAGAAAGTGATGGAGGACAAAGAGCCAGCACTACAGTAGATAACTAACCGTACAGAGTGATGCCACGTTCTCTTCCTCCTCCTCCAGGAACCCTTCCTGTACTGACACACTGGGGATGTCCCAGTCCCCAGTCATTCTCACCCCTCTCCTGAACTTTGGAGACCCAGGCCCACCACTGACACCCCCACTCTCATGCAGGTGAAGCTTCTCCAGGGCAGGGACTGGGCAATGTGCCCAGCACTACACTAGGTTCAGGGTGTGTGACAGGCCTGCACTGTGTAAATGGATAATGAGCCCACCCTGAAAGACCCCTAGCAGCTTCTGAACGGCCGAGAAAGGTTCACTCGACCACCCTGCATTAACCACTGGGAGGCTGTAGCCCTCATCAGCACTGCACAGTCCATTCCAGAGGTGGAAGTCACACGGATGGCTCAGGGTGGATTCCACAATGCTCCCCCAAAGGGCAGTCAGGCTCAGATGTGCGAGACGGCAAGCCCTGGACAGGAGGGCCAGGAGGGAGTGGAGGGTGGGGGAGGGGGAAGTATGGAAGGTCCAGGAACCCCTGGACTCCTCAGAAGTGGGGTGCATGCAGCCACCAGGCTTCCCACACACGTCCCCTGACTCCCCCCAACCCCCACCAGGACCAGCACCCCCACTGTCCCAGCAAAAAGGCCCCTCTCCTCTGGACTGCCGATGCCAGGAGCCTTTATTGGGAGCCCACGCTCTTCACCCCAGTATTACAAGGAATGGGTTAAAAAAGCTTTTTGTTTCAGTTTCTCCTTGTCTGTCACAAATCCACATGGAGCTTAAGTGATTATTTACTTAATATATTTCTTTAAATCACATCAAAAATATTTTTTAAAGGAAAGTTAACTATTAGTAACTCTTATGGAAAATCACTTTCACTTGCCATAAACTGAAGGCACGCATCCATAAACATGAAATAAGCACCTATGCTGCCTCCTTCCCGGCAAGAGGAAGCAACCACCGGAACAAACACTCTTCCGAGTGGTTCTTTCTCAGCATCTCTGAGGCACCCCAGCCCACTGCACTCCAAAACTCTCCACACCACGCTCAGCCGTGAGACTGCTGTTCTTAACTTTTGGGAAACCTGAACCACATTTGCCCTATAGCACATTTATAAGGTGGTTTCCCATCTTTTTCCAGGATTAGAAATGGTTCTGTAGCAGAGTTGACACTGATGAGTTTTCAAGTTTTCCTCCATTATGGAGACTCAGGCTGTCTGCTTCTCACTATGATCATCTTATTACCTAATGTATTAGCATCAAATACATTCATCGTTAAGACGTGCTTTTCAAAAGATAATTCACTTTGCAAGTTTGCAGTTTGTCTAATTCTTTTCAGAGAACTTGCTTTAAATATTTTCAAGTTAACTAAGTAGTTCTGATGAGTGCTTCATTCTTTCTCTACCCCTGTAAACTGTAAGAAAACCCAGCTGAGCTCGTTTGTTTCCACAGTGAGAACACCGACAGCTACAACGCTTTCCAAACCACAACCACAGCCCCATCCATCACTTTCACATACGGGGGGGCACACTCATTACGTTTTATAAATGATCGAGCCCTGGCTTCTTGATCTCTTCCTTGACCCAAATGCTACTCAGAAGGATCTTTCCCCCTCCAAAATGTAGGGGCTTAAAAACATTATCAAAACTTACCTCCTTTCTCACTGTATATGATCAGAGACTAAAGTCTATAAAATTTCCTTGTTTTTGTTCTTTCTGACAGTTTGTGATGGAGGATGTAAACCGTATCTGTAACTCGCCCCTTTTCATGGGGACCCAGTGGGCTCCATTCTCAGAGTAAAATGTGACCCATACCTTCCCCCATACATGAAGGCGTACAATGCAGTGGTCTTCCATGGATTGTGCTATGAAGGGTAAGTTTATTAATCTTATCCTGTTTATTGTATTTGAGTCCTCTTTCTAAAGTTTATCTACTTGATTTGTTATAAGACAGCAAATGGGTATGGGGGGACTAAAACATTTGATTTATGAATCTGACTTTTCTGTTTATATAATTTTGTTGCTGTGTTGTTTGGTTCGTATAGAGGTCAGTATTATACAGGCTTCCTCACTGACTATATTTCATATGGCGAATCTCTTTCACCACCAAACAAAGCCCTTGCTCTGTTGATAGATATGTACCAGAACCAGACACACTGCTGAGGAAAACTCTGTTTTCACATCCCTTCTTCTGGTTATTGTTATTATCGCCAACTCCTACCACCTTTCTGTATGATACAGGTTTGCCTTGTTTCTTGACTTTTCTCCTATTTTTGCTCAATTTTTAATGCTTTACTTTCTTTTTAAAAATTGAGATATAATTCACATACCAAAAAATAAACTCTCTGAGAAGTATGCAATTAGTTGTTTTTTAGTGTATTCACAAAATCGTGTGACACCACCACTATCTAACTCCAGAACGTTTTCATCATCCCTAAAAGAATACCCACTCTCCTTAGTAATCACTTCCTAGACCCCTCCCCCAGCCCCAGGCAAACACTAACCTCCTTTCTGACTATAGATCTGCCTATTCTGGACATTCCATATACTGTTGCTTCTCATTATTTGCAGTAGTTATCCACTAAAAAGTTGCTGTGAATGCTGAATTATAGTGAACCATGAGTGACCCGAGGAATGACCAGCTATAGAATCACCCAGCTGAGCCCAGTCAACCTACAGAAATAGAAATAATAAACTGTTGTTAATTTAAGCCACTAAGTTTTGAGATGGTTTGTAATACAGTAACAGGTAACTGAAACACGGGGGACACGGTGTCAAGTGCCAGGGACGACATTCCTGAAGTGTGTGAGGATAAGCTCAAGGCCATGCCGGACGAATCTACAGAATGATCTAGAGAGAAACCCTGTCTCCGATCACAAAACAGCAATTCTGCCCGGTGCTGCATGTAGAACAGCACCGTGTTTAAGATAAAAGTTTTAACTTCAAAACCGAAGTCAGCAAGTACAAAAGAATGAAAAACCTCTCTTAGGTTTATCTGACTATTTGAAAAAAGCACCCACAACCTGGAAAAGCAGTGCATGTTGGCTGCTCACTGAGACCTGAAGCTGAAAACAGGACCGGTGCTGCCACAGCCCTCTTGGGCAGCCTGCCCTGTGGGCAGAGAGAGGGGCAGAGCACAGGTACCTGCGCCCAATTCTCAGGTGAGGGAGGAGACCCGTAACTCTCTGTGGTCTGGCCGCCTGAGCAAATGCAGCAACTGCAGGCTTACACACAGAGCTAGGAGTTTGTGTGCTTAAGAACAACTCTGTCAATCTTTTACAGACATCAGCTTGTGCACGACCAAGCACCAAGCCCCCTGGAGACCCCTCCACTGTGACTCCACGCTTGGTACCCACTGCTTTCTGCTGCTCAGCTGTGGGAGCCTGGTGGATGCCTTTCATGGTGGATGTTTCAGCGACTCTTTCAGGGGTTCCACTGGAAAATGACTGTGTATATCAGTCACCAAAAAAAAAAAAACAACACCTGCAGCCTCTCAAATTCCAGCCTCATCCATTCTCCTTAATCTAAAAAGGCTGTAAGTGGTTCAGGGAGTTACTTACAGGAAAGCCACCAAAAATATCAGGTTAGGATTGCAAAAGAAAATTCTAGAATTAAGAATAAAAACTAGGCTTCCCTGGTGGCGCAGTGGTTGAGAGTCCGCCTGCCGATGCAGGGGACACGGGTTCGTGCCCCGGTCTGGGAGGGTCCCGCATGCCGCGGAGCGGCTGGGCCCGTGAGCCATGGCCGCTGAGCCTGCGTGTCCGGAGCATGTGCTCCGCAACGGGAGAGACCACAACAGTGAGAGGCCCGCGTACCGCAAAAAAAAAAAAAAAAAAAAAAAGAATAAAAACTAGACACAGTCTATAACAAAGTTTAGTCACCTGCCAGGGAAAAGAGGGGGGCGACCACAGTAGTGAATCAAGTACTTTTCCCAGAAAAATGAGGGCACCCAGACCCAGGGACACACAGGGAGTTCCAGGCCCGCTAAGGCTGACTGTGTGCTTTCACGTGGGCACACTGCCCTCAAGTCTGGCCGTGCCCTCCCAAGACACCCCAGCATCCTGTGGCCTGCCACATGGCTCCGGCTCAAGCCCGCAGGCCCTCAACACCCTCCCTTCCCCCTTCCAGTCTGAGTCCATGTGCTAACTGCTGTGTGAGGCCACTTCCCCCCGCCCCAGGCAGCCCACAATCCTCACGAACACTCCCAGGGACAGGGTCACACCCCTCCCTGCATTGGGAGTGAGCGCTGGTCTGGTCTGTCTGCGCGGGTCCCCCTTGGGCTGCGAGCACAAGAACACCTGCGTGGGCTGAAGCTTAGCTGAGATGCGCCAAGCCCATGGAACAGTGGGACCACAGCAGCCTTCTGTGGACACGGTGGTCAGTGCTATAGGATTTCTCTGGACTCCGTGCGACGTGGTGTCAGAAGGGACCTAGAAGGCCCTGCCCGCAGCAGTGTCCCCAGAAGACACGAGGAGACGCCTTACCTTGGTCAGTTTTGGTTGCTGGCTTCCAGTTTTCAGCACTAATTACCGGCAGACAGACCTGCCCCTTTTCATCAATGTTCGGGTGATAGATCTTCGTTTTAAATGTGATCTTCGGTGGTTTGAATGGGTACTCTGCTGGAAAGTTGATTTCAATTCTGAAGGCCCCTTTATCATATGGAGGGTTGTCCTGGAGGGAAAGGAAAGAGGGCGGAGTGAACCTGTAGCTGAGACAGGAATGTTCTAATTGTTCACTGGAAAAATTACTTTGTTTCAAGAGGTTGTATCAACTGAAGCCTTGTCACCTTCAGGGGAACAACAATCAATCTGTATTTCTAGAGCAACATGTCTGCTAAACTGTGAAAGGGTCTGAGATGGACACCCTGGCCTCTTTACCTTTTTTTTTTTAATAGACTTCATTTTTTTTTTTGAGTAGTTTTAGGTTTACAGCAAAACTGAGAGGAAAGTACAGAACTCCTACACACACACAGCCTCCCCCACCAGAGTGGTACATGCATTAACAGGTGATGGACTGACACCAACACATCATCACCCACAGTCCACAGTCTACAGCAGGGCTCACTCTCGGTGCTGGACACTGAATGGGTTGTATGAAGTATTATACCCTATGGTTGGAATCATGCAGTATTCAGCCCTTTCAGACTGGCTCCTTTCACTTAGTAATATGCATTTAAGGTTCCTTTGTGGCTTGTTAGATCACTTCTTTTTGTCACTGAATATTAATCCATTGTCTCGATGTAGTTTATCCATTCACTTCCTGAAGGTCAGCTTGGTTGCCTTTGGCAATTATGCATAAAGCTGCTATCCACAACCGTGTGCAGGTTTCTGTGTGGACATATTATTTTCATCTCCTTTGGGTAAATACTAAGGAGCACAATTGTAGGTTAAGGGTATGCTTAGTTTTGTAAAAAATCACCAATCTATCTTCCAAAGTGGCTGCACCATTCTGCATTCCCACCAGGACTGATGAGAGTTCCTGTTGCTCCACATCCTCGCCAGCATTTGGTGTTGTCAGCATTCTGGATTTCCACCAATCTGACAGGTGTGTAGTTGCATCCTGTAGTTTTAATTTGTAATTCCCTAATGATATGGTGTTGACTACCTTTTCATATGCTTATTTGCTATCTGTATGTCTTCTGTGGTAAGAAGTCTTTTCAGATTTTTGCTCCATTTTATTATTATTATTATTTATAAATTTATTTATTTATGGCTGCGTTGGGTCTTCGTTGCTGCACGCGGGCTTTCTCTAGTTGCGGTGAGCGGGGGCTGTTCTTTGCGGTGCACGGGCTTCTCATTGTGGTGGCTTCTCTTGTTGCGGAGCACGGGCTCTAGGTGCATGGACCTCAGTAGTTGCGGCACACGGGCTTAGTTGCTCCATGGCATGGGGGATCTTCCCAGACCAGGGCTCGAACCCGTGTCCCCTGCACTGGCAGGAGTATTCTTAACCACTGCGCCACCAGGGAAGTCCCTGGCCCATTTTAAAATCAGGTTCTTTGTTTTCTTGTTATTGAGTTTTAAGAGTTCTTTGTACATTTGGGGTTAACAGCCCTTTTTCAGATAATGTCTTTTGCAAATATCTCTTTATCTTTTTTGAAGGTATGAAGAGTTACACCAGGGGTAAATAACAACCCAACCCAGACCATGCCAAGTGCTGAAAGGCCAAAGAGGTGGCCACAATTCCAGAATAAAGCCAGCACTCAGCTGTACGGCTGGCCCCTGAGGAGCTGAGCTGGCCCCTAGCTGGTCGCCAGGTAGGGCCAGAACCATGCCCCACCCCTGTGTCCTTAGGACCACTCAGAGAACTATCCCTCAGGGCCTGCACACTGATGGCCCAGGAGCCTCTGAGAGATGCCCCAAGAGAAAGAGGCCAGCCTCTCTCCAGCTCTGCCTCCACGTCCAGAGCTGAGCCAGCCCTCCAGTCTGTGGCCTCCCAGCCCCGGACTCTAGCTCTCCAGGGTCCCAGCCCACTCAAAGAAGGCCCAGCTTCACTGAGTGCCCAGGAATGCACAGCGCTGCCTCCTCAAGCCCCAGCGTGATGAGATATTCTCCAGCAAATAGGATTCCTCTGCTGGGGAGTGAGGCCAGCACACGTCAGGTTCCCACACTATCCCCACCCAAGAAGGGTAAAATTAGGGAAGGCTGAGGGGTGGGAGAGGCCTTCCCAGCAGAGAGGACTAAAAACTAGGACGGCAGGGGCTTGGAGGGGACAGCATGGAGCAAGACAGGAGGCTGGGGCTGAGTTTAGGGGTCTGAACCACCCAATCGAGCAGCTGGATCCATGGTCGGAAGATGAACCTACAGGAACCTACAGGATGCACGGCAGGAAGGTGGTGCCTCAGGAGCGGGTGAGGGAGGAGATGTCAACACCTCGGGCGCTGCACCTGGGTGAGGAGACAGACCCATGCACACCCGGAGGGGGTGGGCCATGGCTGGACTGGGAAATCATTTTCACCCCAACAAAACCTTCCCTAATCCCTTCTTTAGGGAACACAGAATTGTCTAGAACACTGTCCAGAAGTTAAAGTGGCAGCGGACTCCTCCCAGGCCTTGTCCTGACTGCTCACTACCTAGGAGAGCTAGACTCACCATTACCAACGAGCCCACGGGGACACGGAGATTTTGCTTCGGGGTTTTAAGAAGGGATCGGCTTCAGCCACGGAAAGAGCCTTCCTGGATGACCCTGGCTGCTGAAACCCACCAGATATGTTCAACCATCACCCAGGACTGACCAACCACCTGGGGCCCGCCGCGTGCTGGGCCATGTGCCAGGAGCTGGAGACAAGGACGAGTCAGGCCAGCCAGGCAAGCCCGGGACATTCCCCAACATCTGTCATGTGGGGGTGACCCTGAGGTAGAAGCCACCCACATTGCATGCTGCACATGGGCAAAAAGTCAGGAGAAGCAGCTCTCTCGCTACAGGACACAGGACAGGCCGAACCTCTCGCCGCCCAGGGAGCGTGTCTTAACTCCTCGGAGACTCTATCCCTGTCCAGGCCTCGGGGTGACCAAAGGAGTGGCTCCAAAACCCCAGGGATTTGTGTGGAAGGGGGTGTGCAAAAAGTCAACACAGTGCCTACCCTGTGGATAAAGGCCTAAGTGCCACACGTGAGTTTTCCACACATTAGAGTTAAACTTATTCTGTGGGAAGGCAGCTCAGAAACTAGAAGGGGCCTCAATGAGAAAACACGGCTTTGTGGTAGAAAAATAGTATTCAAAATTTCAGGAATTTGCCTCAGATGGTCCTCTCCACAAGCCATGGAGAGCTACCCGCAAGGACAGTGCAAACCTTGGCTCCCCCCGCCCCTCCCGGCTCTCACCCCACCCTCCCCAGGCACAAAGCCACTTTGGAGCAACTAAGGCCAAGAGGAGGCTCCTCCAAACCCCTTGGGCCTTTCCCCCACGGGTCCACTCCTGGCCTGCAGGCAAGCCGGCTCTTTCCTCCCCAGGGCAACCTTGAGGAACCCTGAGACCCCACCGCACCCCACACATCTCTTAATCCACTGAAGACCCAGAGTCCTTCCACCATTGTACATCAGTCACAGTTTTGTGTCACCGTTGTGGCAGCTCTCCCTGGGGCTCAGGGAGGACACCACACAGCTCTCTGGCAGCCACTCCCTGACCTGGCCAGCAGCCACACCAAGTTCCCATGGCGCATGCCCAGCTGGCGATCTGACACCACACGGGACTCGTGGCTGGACTGATGTGGACAGGCAGCTCCTAGATGGATCCACTGATGATCGACCACGTGTGTTGGCCGGTGGAGAACCCTCAGCGGTGTCCTTTCCGCGGGGTAACCCTTCACCCACAAGGAACACAGCCCGGCCTGGCTGCCCTGAGGACGTCTACCCAGGCCTGGCCCAGACCCACCCTCAGGCTGCTTGCCCCGGGGTCCAGTTACAGAGGGATGGGAAGGCGGGCTTCCTTGCGCTCTAACCTTCACAGTCCACTAGAGGGCCTGGTCGAAAGGCAGGAAAAGCTCCTGGCCTCTGAGCACAGACTGTCTTCTCATGCCCTGTAACTGTTAAGTGTTCATTCTCTCTTATCTCTTCGTGGTTGCCTGAATTACCAAGTCTGCACAGTGAGCAGAGTCATCATCTGCTAACTTTGCTTTCTGAAGATGACCTCTTTGTACTGTTTCCAACAATTGGGTTCCTAGCACTTTTCACAGTACAGCTCTTTGTCAATGAATACTCTGACGTTTAAAAATTCCATCATTTTCTCTTTGAAAATAAACATTTGTGGAAGTATTTTTAGAACAGATTTTCCAATCTTTCATGACCAAACTACCCTATGAATTACACCTAAATTTAAAATCACAATCTCTAAACCATAATGGAAAAGAATATGAAAAAGAATACATACATGTATATAACTGAATCACTTTACTGTACACCAGAAACACAACATTGCAAATCAACTACACTTCCGTAAAATAAATTTCAAAGAAAAAAACTAAAGAAATTAGGTTGGTCACTAAGTTTCAAAATGCTTTCTTAAAAACCCAATAAAGCACACTGAATATTGCAAAAAAAAAAAAAATCACTGTCTCCAATAAAACGGAATTCCACAGGAACTTTCCCTCCTCTGAACTCATAGGCACCTTTCACGGCATGATTCACCTTCCCTTCAAGAAAAGAAGTAGCTTTATTGTTATTTCTCATAGAAATATAACATTCACACCAAAAAAGTAGTACTAGACATTCCACCCCAGGATAAGGGCTGAGCGTGTCCACAACACAGCCTGCGGCGCACAGCAGTCAGCACACTCCTTGGTCAAGGGACCCGGATTCAGGGAGCGCGGTGCTCTTGGCCGCACAGCCTGTGCCCGCCCACGCGTGGGGCAGATCACTTCGCTTTCTAAGACCCAGCCACAGAACTACTAACGTCGGAGAATTCCTTGTCTGTTGTAGAAAACGTGTGGTGTGGGCCAGCACCCTGGCACGCGGCACTCCTGCACACACACGCATGCGGTTTGCTGCTGGCAGCACCCACTCGCCTGCCCTCGGCGCACCCATGCCTTCACTAGGGCTGCAGCGTATTCCACCATCAGACGCGACACAATTTCCTTACCCCCTCCCCGTTGCCAGGCGAGAACTTGCTGCACTCGTGAAGAGTGTCTGGACCCAAACGCTTCCTTACCAAAAACATAAAGCGACCACAGGACCCACAACCCCACTCCTAAATATCCTAAAGAAATGAAAACGCTTGTCGACATAAAATCCTGTTCACAAATGTTCATAGCAACATCATTCATAATAGCCAAACAGAGGAAACAACCCAAATACCTATCAACTGGTGAATGGATAAGCAAACTATGATATATCCATTACAACAGAATATTATTTGGCAATAAAAAGGAATGAAGTACGAATATATGCTACAACATGGATAAACCTTGAAAATATTATGCTAAGGAAGGAAGCCAGACACAAAACGTCACGTATTATATGATTCCATTTATATGAAATATACAGGATAGCTACATCTACAAAGTAGATCTGTGGTTGCCTACACCTGGGGGACTGGGGGTGATGCTAACAAGGGGAGGTTTCTTTGAGGAGTAATAAAAAATGTTCTAAAATTGTGGTGATGGAGAAACAACTCTGCAAATATACTAACAGCCATTGAATAACTGTACACTTTAAATGCATGAAATGCAGGGTTTGTGACTCTCAATGAAACTGTTAAAAAGGAAATCAAAGCTAACTCAGAAACAGGGTTTTCGACTGAGGACAGTGTTGTCCCTCCTGGAGAGGTTTAGAAATGCCTGAGGTTGTCCCAATGACAAAGGTGGCTACTGGCATCTAATGAACAAGAAACAGAGACAACCCTGCACAAATAATCCACCTGCACACACCAAAATGTAGTTTCCAAGGCTCTCTGAGAACTACAAATTCAATAACTTACAGAATGTTTGTGGGGCGCCTACTCTGTGTAATGCACAGTGCTAGGGACAGGAAGTGGGAGGGAAACAGATAAAGGTCTCTGCCTGAACCAGAACTCGCTGAGACGACACCCACACCACCAGTTATAAAGCAGAATTAGCCCTCTGAGGAGCCCCAAAGAGAGGGGGGCTGGACCACAGCTGACCCCAACGGACTGTCCAGCCAACGGCTGCTCCCGCTGTCTCCTTGCTGGCAAAATCCCAGTTTTGTTTCCGTCCATGCTGCCCCCTCATTGTGAACCGGGGTAAATCCTGACTGGTCTACACCTGTCCCATCCAATATGGTGGCCACCAGCCCAAGCGCCTATTGTGTACTTGCAACAGGACTCTTCCGAATTTAGATGTGCTATAAGCGTAAAATACCACCTGGATTTGAGACTTTGTGCAAAAAAAAAAGAATAAACTATTTAGTTAATAATTATTTATATTGATTACATGTAGAAAATATTTTTGATATACTGTATTAAGTAAAATACTTACCAAAGTGAATTCCACTTGTTTAATTCCCTTCCTTCCTTCCTTCCTCCCTCCCTCCCTTCTTCCCTCCTTCCTTCCCTCCCTCCCTCCCTTCCTTCCTTCCTTTCTTCCTTCCTTCCATGTTAGTTCCCTGACCAGGGATCCAACCCACACCCTCCTCGGGCCTTCAGCAGTGAAAGCGCGGAGTCCCAACCACTGGACCGCCGGGGAATTCCCTAATTTTCATTTTTAATGGGAGTTCTGGAAAATTTAAAAGCACGGCTGTGGCTTGCAGTATACTCCTTTTGGACAGCACAGTCCATCATGGTACTGCCCACACCTCGGCCAGTGACAGACCAGGGGTGGCCACGTGTCCTGGTTCTGGATAATGAGGAGTGAGGGGTCTGTGGTGGGCCCCTGGGATGGGCGTCTTTGTTTTTGGTCACACCAAACTACACACACACACACGTGTCACAGATGGAGAAGTCTGAATGGGGTTGGTGGACTGATCAGCGTCCACTTCCTGGTTACAGCACTGCACTACAGTTGCACAACAGGTGAAGGCTACTGGGGAATCTCTGTTATTTCCTACAATTGCATGAAAATCTACAGTTATCTCAAAATAAAAAGTTCAAGGAGAGAGAGAGAAAAGAAGAGACCGTCTCTTCCTTCCGGGAAACTGTGAAGCCCATGCAGGTCTGTGCTCTCCCCTCGCCGAGCCG